GAAACGTTAAGACAATAGACACAATAAATAAAATAAATAAAATGTATGAATGATGCAGTGCTAATTGACACATAATTTATTACAGTAGCCTACAGAAACTATAAAGTATATATATATATTTTTTTTCCTTATTCTGTGCAGAAAATTGAAATAATGGTTTGTAGTATACAAGACAATCATAAAATTGTCATTAGGAAAAAAATATAGATTACAAATGATTGATTATTGTCCAGCAGTGTATTTGATTTCTTATAGCAAATTCAAAGTAAGAGATAAGAAAATAATTCCTTGTAAAAATAATAATAATAATACATACATACATAAAATTCTTGTATTTGACATTTCTGTCACTTCTGAAGTGATGGCTACACCCCTGTTGTGACAAGAATCGAATCGATTCACTGTCTACCCAAAGATTCACAGCCCTACTATCTGGCCTATCGTGGCCTCTCTCTCTCTCCCTGAGGCCTCTGTGGTCCATCTCCTCTACTTTATAAGCACCAATACTTCAGCTATAATCTGATACATTTTTAACGCTTGTCATACTCACCTTAATTATGACTAATTACATTTTTTAATTAATTTAATTCAATGAATTAAAAAATGTATTAAAAATTTTACATTTCAAATTAAATATATTTTCTTTTGTTTTATGTTCTAGGATCTTCTAAGAATCTACAACTTCAGATTTAAGCTACGGATGGGGCCTACACCAAATAATTCAGTTGTTTTTTTTTTGTATCAGCTTTGTAAATAAATTATTTTGAGTTTTATCTTCCCCTCCCGAGTCTTTCTGGTAGAACTGTTTCTTTTAAAGTGTTTCGTACTGTTTTGTATTGTTTTAGTGTTTTGCTAATGGACCTTGAGTCTAGAAATAAAGTTGAATGAATGAATATTTGTGTGCGTGTTCACTACTCACTGCTGTCTCTGTGCAAATTGGATGGGTTGAATTCAGAGGAAAATTACAAGTATGGGTTATCTTACTTGGCTTATACGTCACTATCCCTATCACTGTTTACTTTAATAAGCCAAGTACAGAATATACTGCATTGCAACCCACTTCTGCCTTTAGTGAGACTGTTACATACAGTCATCAAAGTGAGTATTTTGTTTGTTTTAAGGTGAAATATGGGGGTTTTATGTGTAATAAAAATGTGAAATGGTTTTAATTACAGGTTTTAAATCCTCTCTCGGATTTAGCGGCCACCATTTCTTTCCCACTAAAATTTGAGATTTATTTGTTACTTTGTGTTTTGCTTGTATTTAGTTTATTGGGTTTTCATGTTGTTATTATAACTTCTGTGATTTTATGATATTCATTTTGTTGTGAATTTTGTTTTATTGATTTGTGTACCACGGAGGTCTTATTTTTGGTTTGTGTGATTTGGTTTGTGTTTCAGGTATGGTTTGAGTGGTCTTGAATAATTTTGGGTTTCTGTTTCCTCCCATGTGGTGTGTTATCCGGTTTATGATTCATGGTTGATTTGCCTTATCTTGGGTATCATATTCATCATTGGTTTTATACAATGTTATTTAATTGTTTAATTTAAGTTGGCTTACTTTATTTCAGTTTTGTATTTACATCCTTTTTTATGAACATTTGTCAACCCGGTTATTATTTTAATAACATTATCTGTGGAAAAGGATTATACCTGTCATTCTAATAAAGTATTAACCTTTTTGTACTCTGGCTTCTAGTTCATTTATTTGAACTACCTGTGTTAAAGATATCATTGTTAGGGTCCCCTATCCTAGAAAGTGGGGGTGGCGTAGTCAATTTGGCCGACATTCCTAACAGCCATAGATTTGAGGTCACATATTGAAAAACTAAACTCTACAGGAGCTTTACAGACTCGCAGACACGCCTGTTTTACACACGTCACTCAAACACAGAACCAGGAAACAGGAATCAGTTCAAGGAAAGAGAAAGTGAAAGTGTAGTTGAACTGTTATGTGTTTCTGTCTCTGTATTCATGCAGTAAAATGGAAGAAGCCAGATTTTCTCAGGATGAGTTCCCGTGTCCAGTGTGTCTGGATCTCCTGAAGGATCCAGTGACCATCCAGTGTGGACACAGTTACTGTGAGAACTGTATTACAGACCGCTGGGATCAGGAGGATCAGATGAGAGTCTACAGCTGCCCTCAGTGCAGACAGGCCTTCAGTCCAAGACCTGCTTTAGCTAGAAACACCATGCTGGTTGAAGTGACAGAGAAACTGAAGAAGAGGAAACGTCCAGCTGACTGTTACGCTGGAGCTGGAGATGTGCAGTGTGAATTTAGCGGCCACCGTTTCTTTCCCACTAAAATTTGAGATTTATTTGTTAGTTGTGTTGTTTGCTTTATATTTAGTTTATTGGGTTTTCATGGTATTATAACTTTTGTGATTTTATGATATTCATTTTGTTGTGAATTTTATTTTATTGATTGGTGTACCACGGTATGGGAGGTCTTATTTTTGGGTTGTGTGATTTTGTTTGTGTTTCAGGTATGGTTTGAGTGGTCTTGAATAATTTTGGGTTTCTGTTTCCTCCCATGTGGTGTGTTATCCGGTTTATGATTCATGGTTGATTTGCCTTATCTTGGGTATCATATTCATCATTGGTTTTATACAATGTAATCTAATAGTTTAATTTAAGTTGGTTTACTTTATTTCAGTTTTGTATTTACATCCTTTTTTATGAACATTTGTCAACCCGGTTATTATTTTAATAACATTATCTGTGGAAAAGGATTATACCTGTCATTCTAATAAAGTATTAACCTTTTTGTACTCTGGCTTCTAGTTCATTTATTTGAACTACCTGTGTTAAAGATATCATTGTTAGGGTCCCCTATCCTAGAAAGTGGGGGTGGCGTAGTCAATTTGGCCGACATTCCTAACAGCCATAGATTTGAGGTCACATATTGAAAAACTAAACTCTACAGGAGCTTTACAGACTCGCAGACACGCCTGTTTTACACACGTCACTCAAACACAGAACCAGGAAACAGGAATCAGTTCAAGGAAAGAGAAAGTGAAAGTGTAGTTGAACTGTTATGTGTTTCTGTCTCTGTATTCATGCAGTAAAATGGAAGAAGCCAGATTTTCTCAGGATGAGTTCCCGTGTCCAGTGTGTCTGGATCTCCTGAAGGATCCAGTGACCATCCAGTGTGGACACAGTTACTGTGAGAACTGTATTACAGACCGCTGGGATCAGGAGGATCAGATGAGAGTCTACAGCTGCCCTCAGTGCAGACAGACCTTCAGTCCAAGACCTGCTTTAGCTAGAAACACCATGCTGGTTGAAGTGACAGAGAAACTGAAGAAGAGGAAACGTCCTGCTGACTGTGACGCTGGAGCTGGAGATGTGCAGTGTGATGTCTGTACTGGAAGAAAATACACAGCCGTCAAGTCCTGTCTGGTGTGTCTGAACTCTTACTGTCAGAATCACCTTGAACAACATGAGAGTTGGTTTAGAGGAAAGAGACACAATTTGACTGAAGCCACTGGACAACTGCAGGAGATGATCTGCCAGAAACATGAGAAGCTCCTTGAGGTTTTCTGTCGCACTGACCAGAAATGTATATGTGTGCTGTGTACGATGGATGAACATAAAAACCGT